TTCCTAGCTCGCCGAGCTGAGTCGATCTAGCTATGTATGTCCGTCCGTCCGTCTGTCCGTCTGTCCGTCTGTCCATGTTAATTTGTAATCACTCTACAGGTCGCAATTATGGCCCGATCTTCACGAAATTTAGAATGGAGGTGGGGTTAATGTCAGAATAGAACCCTATTTCTTTTGGAGATGATCTCCAAATGTTTAGGGGTTGAAATGGACCAAATACTGAAAAAATGTTGGATTTTGCAGTAGCTATACAGGTCGCAATTATAGACCAATCGACGCGGAATTTCGCATGTAGCTAGAGTTTAAGGTGGGGAAGAAGCCTACCAATTTGGGTGGTCATCGGATAATATTTAGCGGCTAAAATAGACCATATCTTTTTTGTTGAAAAAATTCAAAATTTTTTATTAAATCGCGAATATTTTAAATCCCGGCGAAATCACAAAGCCATGACAAGGTTACTTCTGATCTTTACATTGATGTTAAGATCCAACAAATCGAATATATAGCAAAATATGTGCGATATATATGTCTATCAAAGAAGATATGCTTGAAAGATCTATTTTATGTCGAGAACGGCTGAACTGATTTCGATAGTTCTCATTAATTCAGAATGGCCTCTTGGCAGAAAAGAAAAAACGTCTAAAAAATCGCATAAAAATATCTCTCTAAAGATGAAAATATTGATTTTGTAAATTTTCTCATATTTTTTTCAATTTTGTCATATTTTTGGCATATTTTCATTTTGAATTAAACATTTGGTAATATTTCTACAGCTAACAAAACTAAGTAGTTAGGATATCAGGATATCATATACAGATCGCATTTATGGCCCGATCCTTACGAAATTTTGCATGGGGATAAGATGAGGGTCAGAATAGAAGCCTACTCTTTTTGGAGATGATCGCCGTATATTTAGGGGTTGAAATGGACCAAAAACTGCAAAATTGTAAGGAGGTCGTAATTATCGCCCGATCCTCACGCACATTTGAATGGGGGTTACCGGACATTGCAAAAGCCAAGCAGTTTTGGATGGCCATCCAAAAATATTTAATGTGTAAAGGAGTTTGCCAACTTTTGTAGACAAAATACGAAAATGTCCATTCCAGTGACTTTTTGGAGAATTCACAAATACAGGAAAGACGCACTTCTGACTATTTCGTTAACGCTGATTTCGTTGAAGAATATAGTCTAATGGCTGTATCTCATATAGATGTGTTTCAGTCAAAAACCAATAATAAATGTTAATCTTTTGCCACTTCTGAGATATTATAGGTCTTTGGGAAATATTGGTTCCAGATCCAATAAATTGGAAATGAGCAAATTAGTTTAAGTTGCTATTATTCGAAAATTAGAGAACGAAACCTGATGGTTTTCTTTTATTATTTGTCACAATATCTTGTGGAATTCTTTCGAGTATCTCGCCTATATAAACTGTATCGTTTTTTGCAGTGTTGTAGGGTATTCAACGGTCGGCCCCGCTCGACTGTAGCCTTTGCTTACTTGTTTTTAAATATCATTAACATTTTTTGATAGCGTTGCAAAAAAAATAACATTTTTATGAGTTATTGCTCTTTGCTGCAGGAGAATTTTAATCTAAAAAGCTATCATATGTTTCTTCATATATAATTAAATTTCCGGGATAAACAAATGTTCGAATATGAAATATCATCCTTTGAAAACATCGCTTTCGTACTGAATATTAAAATATACCTATGTTGATTGCATTACTTTACGTTTTGATTCGTTGGCGCCCAAGGCTCTGAAAATATCAAATATTAAATATTTCCCCTTGGAACATAAATTATGACGACATCTTACTAAGGCTTAATTCTGTACATTTTTTTTCAGTGATTCTAAATCGTCTTTTAATCCCCAAAATTCCGTTATTTGTGAACTAATATAACAATCTGTCTTTTAAAGCTGAGGTAGATTAAGTAGTCTCCCAGTTTCAACGCAAGGATTTACAAAAATTTAATTTTAATGGTTTTTAGATTCCGTCCACCAGTTAATTTTTAGTACTCAAAATTAAAAATTGTTACATTATTTTTTTAAACAAATTTTCCAAACAAAACATCATGCGTCGTGCTAACTTGTCAGCTGCATCACTTTGATAACACTTTATTCATATTAAGTTATTCCTTTATCAAATTGATTACTATTTTCCCCAAAAAGTCTTCAAAATCTTTTGGTTTGAAGTTTACCGAAAAGCATATTAGTTCAACATTTGCACGATGGTTCCACATACAATTTGCCAAACAATGATACTTATTTGCCACACCATAATTAAATCCTGAAAGCGAACAGGGACCTCACTCAACGACAATTTTAGTACCATTTAGTACTTTTAGAACAATAATAGTACGCATTCCCAAATCCACAACTCTCAAAACTAGGTACCTACAATGGTCACCATATTAAATTTCAAAATTCCACCTCATTTCTGAGACCCATTTCAAATCCCAAATTTATTACAATACTTTTCGTACAATTATACTATGCAAAACCACAAGTTTCTCCACAAAAGACACCAAATCAGACTTCCAAATTTCAGGATTTCAGATCAATACCTTAACCCAGTACCAAATTTAGTGGTATTTAGTTCTTTTCGTACAGTTAAAGTACGCATTTAAAAAAAATCTTCATATTTCTACCTCAGTACCACAAGCGACATCCAAATCAAATTTAAGGATTCCAGCTCATTGATTTCCCCAATTTCCAAATTTAGTACCATAAGCCAATTATCTCCATATCATATCCACAGACACCAACAGTAAAGGTGAGAGTACCTAAAAAGCTTTTTTAACTGAATTCACCGGCTGGCTTCTTCGTAAAAGGAATGAATGAGTTTCAGGTTGAGTTGGTTCGATTTTGGTCTATGCTCCTTTGTTCTTTTCCGAAGAAGCCAGTCAAAAAAGCGTTTTATGTATTCTCACCCTAACATTTAGATCAAATGTCAGGATTTCAGCTCACTTCTATTTAGTACCATTTCGTATTTTTAGTACAAATATAGAACGCATTTCCAACCATTGCCAAAACTCAAGCACAGATACCATCCTTGATCTTAATATTAAATTTCACAATTTTATCTCTATTCCTTCCCCAATACTAAATATAGTATCGTTTAGTACTTTTCGTACAGTTATAGTACAAATTTCTGCTACCACATCCATATGTCCAGGCTACACATAAACAGTGACCCTACTACCAAATTGTACTAATCGTACTATTTAGTACCTTTCACAAACCTACCGCCGTGGACCCCGTACATCCGTTCACCCTAAACTCAACTGTTACAAAATTAGTACAATTTACTGTTTTTGGTAAAACACTGATGGCATAGGTAATCTAAGTATGAAATTTCAAATATAGTACCATTCAGTACGTTTTGCACAATGGTACAACCACAAAACATAGTATAGTACAACCACATTCATATGTCAAACATCCTTTCCAACCTTAAATCAAATAATACCAAACGGTACCTTTTTAGAAGTTTAGTACCATTTTCAAACAATAAAGTACTACATTTTAGTACATTTCGTATCCTTTTAGTAAGTATTTCCAAAAACCCAGCCTTATCACATGCCTACGCACCAGGACTGACTCTAGTGCAAAATTTCAAGATTCTATCTATCTGCATATCTCCTATGACGAGATCGACACATCTTACAGAAGATCTATAAAAATATACAGATCCTTTATAAGTTCTATAAATGTTTTAAAAGGTTATGCACATATTTTCGAGACGAAAAAACTCACAGTTCTTTCTTGTATTAAATCCCATGTCTAGAGAAGATCCAGAGATATTCTATGAGAAGGTTCACAGATCCTCTGAAAGCAAATCCACAGATAGCATAGAAGTTTTACAAATCTGCTAAAAGAAGATTCGAAGACGTTCCACAGATCTCCTATAAGAAAATCTACAGATCTTCATGAGGGCATCCATAACTCTTCTATAAGAACAACCATAGATCTTCGACGAGAATATCCACAAATCTTTCTAAAAGAATATCCACAAAATGCATAGAAGTTTGACAGATCTGTTAAAAGAAGATCCAAAGTCGTTCCACTGATATTTAATATGGAAATTTACAGATCTTCTTCGAAAACATTTACAAATCTTCTGAGAGAAGATCCGCAAAACTTTTGTAGGAGAACCACAGATCCGCTAGAAATTCCACAAATATTTCACAAGAAGATTCAGTGATCTTTTATGGGAACATCTACAGATCTTCTGCAAAAAGATCTATATTTTAGCTACTAGGATATAGTAATAATGACTAATTAACGTACTCTCTTCCGGTAATTTTTTAAAAAAAAAATAATTTTTCCACTAGTGCAATTGCCATATATTCCAAATATTTGTGTATTGAAATATTTTTATTATTTGTTTCTTAACATCAATTCATACATATCCGTCAAAACAAAACTGGCAGTTATGTCCACGTTGTACAATAATTATGATATTCAGTCAAGAGCGAAGAAACCCACTCATTCTTTACTGACATAAGAGACATCATTGTCATTATCATCATCACCATCAAAATCCATACAGATGTTCGACGTGGCTTGGAACTGATGTCACTAATAATGCATTTCCGATATGAATTAATATTGCCATGCTGTTGATACATGTACTCACTCAGACTACATGTTGTAGTTATTTTTGTTGTTAAACTCTTTGGTTTTTTTTCGTTTTTGTTTTATTGCCAAGCAATCATTATGAAACGTACCGATCATTTCCCATGGTAAATGATTGGTATTAATGATCATGAATTAACAATAAATCAATGTCAAAAATGGAATAGAACCTACTCGGTCTGTGGGTACCTCAGAGCCCGACGCAAACCTTTGTGTCACTGTTAGTGTTTCTAGATGGAAATGTCGACGTTGTTGTTGAGGAAATTAATTGAGATATTTTAACCTTTAGCTGGAGTATGAAGTTATGAAAACTGTTGTTGTTGTTTTAAAAAATTATTGTTTTTTTTCTTCCATTACAGATGCTGACTCGAATATTGCCCAAGGGTGAGGCCAGACCCCTTAGTAGTAAAAGTACAACCTCAAGTGATCTCATTGCGGGCAATGAGTTCCTGAAACTGTTTATGGGTCATGAAGAACTTGAACGTGAATTCCTGGCAAGACAAGAGGGAGATGAAGTCGAATTTAAGGAAAGCGAGGAGTTTGATAAGAAATTTGCCGAAACGGCGAGAAACCGTGAGGCGGGCAGTCGTAGTTTAAAAATTCAAGGACCTCGAATTAATCATGCCGAGGGTCAGGCGGAGAATAGCAAAGCAAGAAGCTCAGGTAGTAGAATTTCATTTTTGGAGGATTACGATGAAAACGATGCCATACTCGATGCCGAAGCTAGAGATATTGATTTGAAGAGGGAACCTACAAAGGCCAAGAAAGATGATTATAAAGTACTATCATCATCTTCAGTGGTTGTGGCCTCGCCCGCCACCTCATCCTCCACCTCCTCTAGTCAACGAGGTTCAATGACAGGGAAAAATCGTTTGACCACAGCAACAGCAACTACATCAAAATATGACAACAAATCGTATACAACAACCCAGTCAGTCGTGACAATGACACCGCGGCCACCAACTGCGACTACATATAGACCGCCATCAACAACACTCTCCACCACCACCACCACTACAACAACAAAGTCAAAAACAACAACAAAGTCACCACTCAAGACGGCAAAAACATCACAAAACTCTGCGGCTGCTTCAACGACGACAGGTGACAACTTCATCAATCGATCACACAAAAGTGAGTTCTCAGTCGAGGAAGTTCAGCCTTCAACTGCCAGACATCAACAATTGCTACAGCAACAAAACCACCAACGACAGCGTAAAGTTGTGCGCAAAACATTAACGCGTCATCATCACGAGCAGCAGCATCACACCTCATACCCATTGACGAATGAACCAGACAGTATGGAGGCTTTGGACTCTGAGAACAGTGCCTCCACAAATGTAGAGCAGAATGTCTTGGCATCGCCGGGACAGGGCTCAAGTGGCCCACTGCGCTCGACATCGACGGTCACAACCATGTTTCACAGTGGTCAACATAACGTGTCCATTAATCATGCCATGTCTAAGACCCCAGCATCACATCAAACAAATGTCGACGACGTTGACATTTCCAAAGACCTAAACGATCAACAGCACTCAGCTACTGGTGTTGATGATCAATTGTTGCCATTTCAAACGGTAATTTATCATGACACCAAAAGCGGCAACAGTCATGGTCCACAGTCACGTTCTATTTCGTATTCGTCCATCTCGCAAAATGTCGAGGATTTAAAGAAATGGCACCAGTCTGGAATTCTCGCCGAGGCTCGTCGTAATGTTAGCGAAAGCCTGAAACCGTTGCCAACCGTCCATCAATCGGAGCCGGCGAAATTCTATTCCCAACCGTCCAAAATGTACAGCGAACCCTCAAAATTCTATTCCGAACCATCCAAAGTTTACTCCGAACCGGCAAAAGTTTATGGAGAACCTGAGAAGTTTTATTCGGAGCCAGCCAAGGTTTATGGTCAACCTTCGAAATTCTATAGTGAACCTTCGAAGGTATATTCGGAACCGGCCAAAATGTATGGTGAGCCAGCCAAAACGTATTGGCCCATTACAGTTACCACCACAACAAGGCCTCCCAGTACCATTCGACCAATTACGACAACAAATTTGCCACCGATAGTCACTACCACCACTGCCTCCCCGTTACCCATAGGGCTTGGTTATCCAGCATCACGTAAGCCAGCGGCCATAGTTTCACGTATTGCCTTTGGTGAAGCTCAAAGTAGCACCCCATCCACAGCAACGACCAGCAGTAGTATAACTACGACCACCACCCCCGCCCCTACGGCAATAACAAGCACCATCAAATCGTTACCATCATTTGGCGGTAGCTTCCATCAACACACCTTTGGTCAACGGCAACCTCCTTCGGAGACCACAACTCCGCCACGTCGCATTCTCTTCAATTTGGATCGTCTGCCATATGATTTGCTCAATGCTCCACAACCTGCCACACAACAGACACCAACACGTTTGGAATTGCCGCAACAGCCGGCATTAACATACCAACAGCAGCAGCAATCGACACAACAACAGCAGACACCAACACAAACACAACAGCAACAACAACGTCATCATAACATTAACCCATGCTTGGAGTCGGCAGTTTCTTCACTATTTTCATCAGCCACATTATCTGCTCATCCAGCATTAATAAAACAACGCCAACAACATTCATCATTGTCAGATCAACAACATTCTAATCAAAATGCCAAAGGATTGCCCAACGAAGGTAAGCATCAGCAGTGGAGTGACTAGATTTTTTGTTAGGTTACAGCTTGCACAGACACACTGAGGCAAATACATTGTGTTGCAGCAGATTGAGTCTTTTTTCGAATTTCTTCTTCATCTTGTTTAGTTGAAGCACTGCCGTACTGCTATGAAGGGGGGATTTTTTCGGTATATGAAATGTAAAGATTTTTCGGTAGCTTTGGACAACGATCTCGACCATTGTGCCACCCTACTAATTGAGTAGTACCACCACAACAAGGTTTTTGGTTACATGGACAGGAAAGATTTTTTCGGTAGCTATGGGATGAGATGTCGTCCCTACCCTACAAATTGAGTGGTACCTTCACAAAATGGAAATAATTGTACTTGATATCTGATAACAATTACTAACAAATTTTAATGGATGCTGTCTGTTTACAAATAAGATAATCAGGAGAGAAATTTGTTTTAAAGAGTTGCCGGATATTACCATGAAAATGTTGTTCAGTAAGATATATAAAACTCAATAAGATGTTATTTTCGGATTTGAAATAGAGAAAGGAACTGAATTAGTTTTTGTTTACAAGTTTCTGGTTTGCAAAAGTGTGGAATATTTTTGGTGAAATAATATACTACATTGAACAATTTTTGCAAGGATAAGTTCTAGCCAAAATACTTAAAATCGGTTAGTAGGTCCACGTTTTGGTATATAATGATACCTCCTTATTTTCAGTATTTTGGTGATATAAGAGGCACTTTTCACCGGAATTGTTTCAAATTTGGCATTTTAAGTTCGTAATGGATACTACAGCCTATGAACGAAAATTGTTTGTTAAGGTCCACGTCTTCGTATAGCGCTCATATATCGGTACCACCCGATATTCGGTATTTTGATTTTATTTTTTATACCCTACAACACTATGTGTTGGGGGTATTATAAGTTTGATTGGGCCAAAAATTATGTAACACCTCGAAATATTGGTTTCCCACACAGGAAAGTATATATGGATTTTCCTATCTCGCCGAGCTGAGTCGATCTAGCTGTGTATGTCCGTCCGTCCGTCTGTCCGTCTGTCCGTCTGTCCGTCTGTCCATGTTAATTTGTAATCACTCTACAGGTCGTAATTATGGCCCGATCTTCGCGAAATTTAGAATGGAGTTGGGGCTAGGGTTAAAATAGAACCATATTGCTTTTGGAGATGATCGCATAATATTAAAAGGTTGAAATGGACCAAAAACTGAAAAATTTACTGATTTTGCAGTTGCTCTACAGGACGCAAGTTAGCATGGGGCTAGAGCTTCGGGCTGGGCAGAAGCCTTCCAATTTTGGTGGTCATCGGTTAATATTTAGTGTGTGAAATAGACCATAACATTTCTGTTAAATAAAAGTCAAATTTTATATTAAACCGCGAATATTTTTAATCCCGGCGAAATCACAAATTGGCGAAGTGGTCAATTCTGACCGTAACGTAGATGCCGATAATAAATATATCGGATATATCTAGCGAAATATATACAAAAGGAGGGGATGTTAGTTAGAATGCTTATATCCCAAGAATGGCTGGACCGATTTTGACAAATTCTGTCAATTCGGAATGCCCTCTTGGCATAAAACTATACAATCTAAAAAATCGCATAAAAATATGCCAATAAAGATGTTAATATAGATTTTATATTATTTTGTGACATATTTTTATTTTTTCATATTTTTTATCGCATGCGATTTTTTCAATTTGACTCATAATATTGAAGTATACGTTTTGTAATATTTTTTCACCTTACAACACATGTTGGGGTTATTATATACATATTGCAATTATCGTCCGATCCTCACGAAAATTTAGACTCAGAAGGGCTAGGCCTACTGTTTTCAAAGATTTCCGCAATATATTTATGGGTTAAAATGGACCATCAACTAAAAATGTTTCTGATTTTGCTGCCGTTATAAAGGTCACAACTAGAAACTAATGGACACGAAATCTCGCATGAAGTTAGAGTTAAGAACAGTAGGTAGAATGGACCACTACTTTTGTGTGGAAAATTACCAACATTACTTACAGGCGATATCCGTAATACACAAAAGGTGAACTTCAAAGTTCGGCTCGGCCGAGCTTACAGCTTTTTTACTTGTTAAATTTGGTATTTAAAGTTCGTAATGGATACTACAGCCTATGACAGAAAATTGTCTGTTCAGGTCCATGTCTGCGTATAGTCCCCACATATCGGTGCCACCCTATATTGATGATTTTAGCTACATTATTCACCGATTTTTTTAAGTTTCGCAATTGAATATTGTAATGGATTATGACAAAAGTTGCCTATTCAGGTCCATGACTTGGTGTAGACCCTAACATAACGTTCATTCGGTATATTTAAGATTTAAGTACAAATTTTAACGAATTTAATTTTTTTGAAAATGGCCAAATTCGTTTTAAATTTTTTATTATTAAAATACATCTGTTTTTGCTAGTAATTGTGTACGGAATCTTCAAGCTGATGCAAATTAGAAGGTACATTTATATGGGGCCTATACCTAAACGAAAATCGATGCAGTCCATTTTTAATTTTAATAAGTAAGCAAAGGCTATAGGTGGGTGGCGACCATTTGATACCCTACAATTTACTGTTAAATTTCTGCAAATATAAATCATTTCTGATTCTAGAGTAGTAAAAAAATCCGGGCCGAAATTTGAATAACCATTTAGAACGAATTTGGCAAATCTCAAAAACAATAAAATCTGTTAAAAATATCTGTTAAAATCTTAAAAATACGATCTAATGGGCGTGCATAGGTAATTTTTGTCATAAGCCATTACATTATTCAAATGCGAACTTTAAATACCAAATTTGAAACAACTCCGGTGAATAATGTCGATAAAATCATCAAAATACAGAATATCGAGAGGTACCGCTATATGGGGGCTATACGAAGGCGTGGACCTGCATAGACAATCTTCTGTCTCAGACTGAAGTATTCATTACGAACTTCAAATACCAAATTTGAAATATTTACGGTGAATAATGTCGATAAAATCATCAAAATACAGAATATCGGGAGGTACCATAATATGGGGCTATACCAAAAAGTGGACCTACATCACCCATTTTCAATATCAAATTTCCTGCAGACATAAATCGACATAGAATTTGATGCTGATCAAGAATATATATTTTGTGGGGTCTTATAAACGGTATGACAAACTTCATATACCCTCCATACTATGGTGGAGGGTATAAAAAATATCTGTATTTGATGTACCTATTTTATTATTTCGGAAACAACAGAAATATCACATTCAAAAACTTTTTCAATTCTATATTCATCGCGACCCGAATATAATACCCCCAGCACATAATGTTGCAAGGTGAAAAAAAAAAATACAAAATGTATAATTCAATATTGTAAGTCAAATTAAAGTAAATATTATGCTATAAAATAATATGACAAAAAATAAAAAGATATTACAAAATTTTACAGAAAAATTTTAACATTTTTATTTGCAACTTCTTATGTGATTTTTCTATATTTCATTCTTTTCTGCCAATAAGCCATTCCAAATTGGATTAGAATTGTCAAAATCTGTCCAGGCATTCTCGAGCTATCAACGGTCTAAATATCATTTCCTTCTTTGATAGGAGATTGTATATATGCAGCTATATATGCGATACCTTGAAAATCAGCATCAATGTTACTTTCAGAAGGGAGCTTTTCGTGAATTTGTGATTTCGCTGGAGTTAAAAATATTCGCGGTTTAATGGCTCGCCAAGATGCATACAAAACATCCTATGTCCAGGGCCAATGTTTCGAGGTGTTACAAAATTTTTGACCCAAACTTATAATACCCCCAAAACATAATGTTGTAGGATATAAATAACAGATAAGTCGACCTACCAAATTATTAAATTGTCTCTTCGCAATCATTTGCTCCCCTAAACATTTAAATTTAGATCCATGGTGTAGTCACATTTGAAGTTGATTCCTAAAATGAGACTTTTAAATGCGGGCAACTAGTTATTTTGTTCCAATAATCAGAATTAATATTTTTATACATTTGGTGTATTCTTAATCAGAAATGTGTATCTACAGTCCGATTTCCAATATTTGATATTGTCCCTAAATCTACTACAACAGATTTTATTTAAGTTAACTTAAAACTACTAGAGAGAATGTTTCTTTAGGCTGCCAATATTTTTCAGTTGTAAGAAATTAGATGTTTATGTGATTGTATTGAACCATTAGGCCATTGCACTTTTGAATACTCGCCAAACATTTATATGACTACTAATATTATGCAGACGAATATTTTGGGAGAAATTTACAATATTTTAAATATTTTTTTATACCCTCCACCATTTTATGGAAGGTCATTGTCATTCCATTTGTAACTGCTCGAAATATTCATAATAGACCCTACAAAGTATATATATTCTGGATCAGCGTAAAATTCTGTTGTAATCACTCTATCTTTCGAACAAATTGAGGTAAAAGGCTAAAATTTTGTGATTTTTTAGCGACATATTTATCGGAATTATTTCAAATTTCGTATTTGAAGTTCGTTATAGGTGCTACAGCCTATGACAAAAATTGTTGTATGCAGGTCCAAGTCTTCGGTACCTCCCGATACTCATTATTTTCATGATTGTAGCGACATTATTCAAAGTAAATGTAACAAATTTCGTTTTTGAAGTTCGTAATGGGCACTACAGCCTATGACAAGAAAATTTCGTATACAGGTCCAGATCTTTGTATAGTCCCCATATACCGGTTTTCATTTAAGTGGTAGTTTTCGGTTTTTTGAAATTTTTCAATTTCCTTCGAAATGTTGGAAGGTATTTGATTTTCGGCCAGGCCGAACTTAGCTTCTTTTTTACTTGTTCATATTAAAAACATCCTTGCATATAACTGTCAATATAGGTCTAAGTTGTGGTATAGTCCCTATATAACTCCAATATTCGATGTTTATGTTTTCTGTCACACTTTTCACTGAATATACTTCAAATTTGGAATTTGAAGTTCCTAAGGGATACTACATCGCATGACAGAAAGAAGCTGATGCAAGTTACTTCATCGTGTAGATGTGCAGAACCATAATCTATTAATTCCAACTTTCAGACATTATATTTTTTTTCGTTTTGAATAATATAATAAATATTAATAAAAAAACTTATTTTTAATTATACCTTTCTTTTTTACAGATCTAGTCAGATGTGTTGCTGAAATACCAAGTCCATCGATTCCACCTTCTGGAGCAGCAGATGATACCGGCCTACCATACACCACGGAGCGTAGTAACATTGAAGAGCTTTTTACACCGACGCCTGAGCAAAATTACGAAATAGAAGAGTCGGCAAGTGTAATGACAAATGGGCGAGCCCATGGTGTACAAGGTGGCAGCGGCGGTGGTAGGAACAGTTTAACACTGCCAACACCACAACCAGGCGCACATTCATTCCAAGCGAATAAGCAACGAATTCATTTCGGTACAAACATCAATGCTGGAGTCAGTGGTGTGAGTGGTGGTGGTGGTACTGGAAGCGGTTACCTAAATCAACAGTCATCGTTTAATGGCAATGCAAATGCTAATGGAGATGCCGCCCTAAGTCATCCGCAACATCCTCATAGAAATTTGCATGGCGATGGCAATCCTAGTCCCGACTACAACGCATATGATGATGGCGGAGGTGGTGGTGGTGGTGGTGTAGGGGAGACAGATGATTACACCGATGATGAAACTGGTCAACATAGACCACCGGGCGCATCCAATGATGGTGATGACTCCAAAGTTGCCTATGTTGTTGAGGGTCGCAATTATCGTAAATATCGTGTGGAAACCAAAACGGACGATGGATACATTGTTGGTGAATACGGTGTGGTCCATCATGATGATGGTAATTTACGTGGAGTGCGTTATACGGCCGATATTAACAACACCGATCGAAGTCTCATACAGAAAGCTTTGTTGACATTTTTGAAACTGTAATAGGAAGGGGACTTCAATGAACGTTAGGTTAGGTAAGGCATGAGCTTCGAAAGGGGGATTAGCTGAATGTGAAAAAATGAGATAGAAAAAACGAAAACAATAACTGCAACCGGGTCAGTAATGTAGGATTAGCAATTTGAAAGAGGTCTACATATATTTTGGCCCCAAATGACCATATTGACGCCATGCTGGCGTCTTATTTTATATTGAAACTATTGTGATGATTCCTATACAAAGTAACAGATAAACAAATAAATAAACAAACTACAACGAATTTGTAAGGCAATGATGTAATTGTTGTTGGTTGATTGCTGGGTTCAAAGATCATTCCTTACACTATCTTAGAGTTAATTTTTATGTATTCTTTTAATTTATAATTCATATATATTTAAATTTTTGTTGCCGGTATCATCGCCAATCGTCTTCTTCGTTCAATTTGAAGAACAACAACAAAGAAACTCAACATCAAAGAAACCACTAAACCAACAAATTGCTAAAGACATAATAATAATGATAATATAAACGTATGTTGTGATTCAATGTTTTCTTTTTTATAATTTTCCATATAGCAAACTATTTTAATTTTTCTTAATTGTATGTATGTGTATTTTTACATATTTGTACTTTATACATATTTATATAAATAATCTTTAGAAGGACTCTGTTAGAGGCAAATCGTTTGGATTTTACATAAAGTATTCTAAATTGTATAGATGGAAAGACTAACACGGATAAATTTGTATTGTATATAAATCTAATATTTCTCCAAAATTGAGAATGAGTCTACATATTATGTTGATAATGGTGGTCAAAGTAGGATTTGTTTCAGACTATGTTATGTTATGTCGAGCATGACTATGTTATTTGGTAACGCATTAATCAAAAAAGCCACTCAAGCATGAGAACCAAGTAAAATTTGGTCCCGTCCATTTAAAATTCTTCGAAAATCCTTGAAATAGTTAAGTCGGATGATATCGTTATATGGAAGGTAACCATATTTGGTGGTAACCATTGATTAATTATTCAACATACATGCGGCACAGGACTTAACTACTGAGAAGAGAGATTTTTTTGTTTGGAGAGGGTTTTTATTGTTTCATATCCCTAATTACCGGTAATTCTGTAAAAAAAACATATCTAAAACTTTAATAATATTTAAAATCGAAAGGTATAGTTATATGGGAATTATTCCCAATATTGAACCAATATTGATTTGTTTGAATATTCATTTTTTCGAATGGATAACTTCAACTCACTAATGACCCGAAATGTCAAATTACATCTAAATCAGTTAGAACAAGTAAAAAACAGCTAAGTTCGGACGCGCCGAACTGCACCATTTGGAAGAAACTTGAGAATTTAAAAAAAACCGTTAGAAAATATCGCTCAAATAAAAACCGTTATGTGTTCGTGGTCCTCTTCTAGGGAATAAAGTACTCATAAGGAACTTCTTGTGAGGATTTTCAGACAATTCTGTTGAAAAATGTGGCTAAAATCATCAAAATTCCGAGATTCGGAACCGTAATATAGGGGATATATGATATCGTGGACCTGTATAGACAATTCTCATACATGGGGTAATGTACTTACAAGGAACACCTTTGGTGGATTTTAAGACATTTTCATTGAAAAATTTGGCTGAAATCATGAAAATACCGAATATATATATTGATACTTCTCTTCCAGGATATAAAGTACTCATAAGGAACTCCTTGTGTGGATTTTTCGACAATTGGCTAAAATCATTAAAATAACGAATATAAGGGGTACCGTTATATGGAGGGTATACGTTATCGTGGACCGATATAACCCATCTTCGAACTTGACCTGCCTGCAAACACAGATCTGTGCAAATTTTTGGCTTTCTATCTTAATCTTAATTCGTTTTGTCTGTTGGAAGGAATTTGCAAATTTCGAAAAATAAAAAAAAATAAAATAATCGTTGAAAAATAGTGCTAAAATTATAAAAAAAATACATGGGGAATTACTGTTATATTAGGGCATGTACGGACACGTAGACCTGTATATGCAATTTTTGTCATAGGTCATTACGATATTCAAATACGAATATTCCGAATATGCGTAGCCGAATATAGGGAGCTACCATAATATGGGGGTTATATGAAGACGTGGACCTGCATATTCAAATTTCTGTCATAGTACCCATTAGGAATTTCAAATACGAAATTTGACACAATTCCGGTGAATAATATCGCTATAATTATCAAAATACCGATTATATGGAGAAACCGTCATATGCGGCCAACATGTGGACGTGGCCCTGCATAGAAAATTTCGGTTACAGGCTGTAACAACCATTATACAATTCGAAATTTGAAACAATTCCGGTGGATAATGTCGTTAAAATGCCAAATGTAAGAATGAGCCGTTATATATAAGACCTGGACCTGCATATGCAATTTTCTGTCATAAGATGTAGTACGCCTTAGGAACTTAAAATTCCAAATTTGGTAGCATAGTCTATACCAAAACTTGGACCGATATGTACAGATCTAAGTATAATTCTTACATTAAGTTAACACATGATATCAAATTACAGATAATTGGGTTTGAAATGATGACAAAAATATCAAAAAAACCTAAAAAAAAAACCTGCCGGTACCTGGAATCTATACGTGGACATGACGTGGACATATAGCCCATACCAAAAGTCCTACGGAGTAGTAAAATGTTATGAGCTAAATTCATTTCCTTCGAAATCTAGAGTTGTTTCTAAAGACGGACAGAAAAGCAATAGGACGAATCTCCCCACACCGACATAGAATTTTATGCTGAACAAGAATTTCTATACTTTGTTGGGTCTAAAATGTGTACTTGGAGGTGGTGCAAACGAAATGGCAAACTTAATATACCCTCCATACTTTGGTGGAGGGCATGAAAATAACTGTTTTTGGTATGGAAACCAAATAACGGTATGGCCCTATATTCGGAATTTGAGTGAAATTTTTTCAAAACTGGTGTTTGCAACTTGTAATGCCTTATCTGGCAGATAAATGTCCATAGTGGGTCAATTATAATTTCCATATAAAAGTATCCCCCGTTATTCGATGTATTGATGATTTAGGCTATATTTTTCAATAGAATTGTTTGAAATTTTATTATTGGCAGCAAATTTAATGTGTAGTTCTAAGTTTTATATGAACATTATATAATGGTACCTCCTAAAATTTTAATGATTTTAGACATAATTCTCAAAGGTTTTTCTATTTGCTATTGCTGGTTCCGAAAAGGGTGGGGTATTAAATGATCAGCTCGTCCAAACAAACATGAGTGAGTCGAGAGTGCGTTCACACAAAACAAAAGACGACTTCTACTCCTACATTCTTACAGTAATGACGGCATGCGATCCTGGGTTCTACATTCCAAATGCTAAAGTCTTGTGATACCGGGATTCCCGAATTTGAAATTAAGTTTTCGTAAGACTTTCACCCGGAGAAATCATTTTGGGGGCCGACTAGCAAAAAAATTACTCTTCCAGGTTCAATGAACAAAAGAAGACGTGAATTTCGAATGGAACTCCCGCGATTTTGAAGTAGTTTAGGCTCAGGCCATGTGGAAAAAAATGTGTATTTGTTATGGACACTTTCAGATTTTTCATATGTGATAAGAGTCTATCGTTATATATGTAAGTTCCCATTAAAAGAAATTGACGAAATGCCCGCAGGAACTGAATGAAAGCCTGGAAATCAAGAAGAGTAGGAACTCAATAGATCGTAATCAGCATTGGGGGTTTGAACAACTTTTTCCAGAATTTCTCATTCGATTGGTGTCTACTCATACTGGCCAAAATTTGCAACTTTCGATCTCTGACAGTATGGCACCATTGTCAGTTCATATGCTGTTGATAGGTCACATGTTGTTCTATGGCACAGACAGTTCTGGTTGAGTGTTCCACGATTTTTATACTCTACAACACTATGTGTTGGGGGTATTATAAGTTTGATTGGGCCAAAAATTATGTAACACCTCGAAATATTGGTTTCCCACATAGGAAAGTATATATGGATCTTCCTATCTCGCCGAGATGAGTCGATCTAGCTATGTATGTCCGTCCGTCTGTCCATGTTAATTTGTAATCAAGCTACAGATCGCAATTATGAACCGATCCTCACGAAATTGAAAATTGAGGTGGAGTTATGGTCAGAATAGAACCCTATTGTTTTCCGCGAAACATGGAGTTAGAGTTTAGGAGTGGACAGAAACCTACCAATTTGGGCGGCCATCGGACAATAATTAGCGGGTAAAATAGACCCTGCCTTTTATGTACGAAAATAGGAAAATTTTCACTAAACCGCGAATATTTTCAACCCCAGCCAAATCACTAATACATTAAAAGATCACTTTTGACCATTACAGTGATGCTAATAGCCAAGAAATCGGGTATATAGCAAAATAGGTACAATAAATATGTAAAAGAATTGATCTTATTTATTCTGCTCATAAATCAAAAACCGCTGGGCCGATTTTCACACTTCCCATCAATTCGGAATGGACTTTTGCCAGAAAAGCAGAAAATCTAAGAAAATCGCGGAAAAATATACCAATAAAAAATGAATATTTTTTGTTTCCATTTTTTTCAATTCTTGTCATATTTTTTATCGCATGAGTTTTTTTTTTCAATTTGACTTACAATTTTGAATTTTAAATTTTCTAAATGTTTACACCCTTCAACACTACGTTTTTACGGTATTATATGCATGTTGCAATTATCGTCCGATCCTCACGAAATTTGGCATGGAGATAGGGTTAGGGTCAGAATTAAAGCCTATTGTTCTTAAGAAGTACATTTAGAGGTGCAAATGGACTTAAAAAAATAATTTTTTCTAATTTTGTAGTCGCTCTATAGGCCACAATTGAAACTAATCGACACGGAATTTCGCATCGGAAGAGAGTTAGTGGAAGGAAAGAAGTCTAGCATTTTGGATGACCATTGGATTACATTTAGCTCTAAAATGGACCACAACTTTTGCCAAATTCTTCGGGCCAAAAAACTAAGGGTAACCTCTGAGCGGGGCTCTCTGACATTATTTCAAAATACGCAATCTTCCAAAATGGATTTGGATATAAGGGGACTTCGAACATATTGCAGTGTTGTAGGGTATCACATGGTCGGTCCCGCATGACTATAGCCTTTGCTTACTTGTTTCTTATAGTAGGGAGGAATACATAGTGACAAAAATAGTCTTCTTTACCGACGACAAATGTGATTTCGGCATGTATGACACACCTTTGCTGTACTTCTTCTCTGCCTCTTCTAGGCTTTGTTAATGATGTGGGTGGATTTGGTGTAATCTCCTTGGCGGATAGAGATCTGCATTATAAACTTGGAAATAACTGAAAATTTCATTAAGTTTTAAAGTTCGATCATCCAACAGATTTAGAGAGTGATTTAATCGTTACCTCATCTAGATTGTGTAGTCACTTTTTTTCCTTATTTTGTTAAACTTCTTGCTCTTTTTCTTGGCTCTAAAATCAAAAGGGTTTAGATTGTCAAAGCTCTTTAAGATCATCCGCTAGTCCAAAAGCCTCTGCTGGAAAACTTAAATTTAAGATGTTTAAGGCATATATCGAAAGATTGCTAATTCGATGATATCTCAGAACATCCTCTTTGCAACAAAAACATCACAAGGCTTCAACTGCTATCTAAAACGATAATTATTGAGCGCCCTGAATTCGGGTCAGTGATCTTCGCAAAAGTCCGCTGATGTAGAAGTTATGAAATCAGGCGATCTTCTGACCGACCGATCTGT